ACAATGGTGATGGACTCACTGCCCTTTGCACAGTTTAATGTTCACAAGTTGTTGGACACGGTTTAAAACATTGAGAAGAATTCCCAACCAAATTTTTCCCATCTTCTTGTCTATAATTGTTTTAGCTTCTGGCAAATTCCTTCTTTTGTTTCCAGTACTGGCAGGTGTGAACTAAATTAAGCTGTACAAGTGAGATAATAGCATGGAAGAGCAGGTGTGGTTGGGGAAGGCATGCATGGTATGCTTTATGGGAGCCGCTACCTGCTTCCATGTGGCCCTCCACATCCCTGTAAACACATCTACCTGTTGTAGGTGCCTGGAGATGCCTCACAGCCAGCACTGCCATAACCCCTGGGCTTAACCCCACTTTGATAACCATAACCTCAACAACTTCCCAACTGTGTCATAACCTCCATCCTGACTCATGACCACAACCCCTGTGTCATACTCACCATCAATGACACACGACCACAACCCCTGTGTCATAACCTCAATCCAGAATCACGACTACAACCCCTGTTTCATACTCACCATCAATGACTCACGACTACAACCCCTGTTTCATACTCGCCATCAATGACTCACGACTACAACCCCTGTGTCATAACCTCAATTCAGAGTCACGACTACAACCCGTTTCATACTCGCCATCAATGACTCACGACTACAACCCCTGTTTCATACTCACCATCAATGACTCACGACTACAACCCCTGTGTCATAACCTCAATTCAGAGTCATGACTACAACCCCTGTTTCATACTCACCATCATTGACTCACAACTACAACCCCTGTGTCGTAACCTCAATTCAGAGTCACGACCACAACCCCTGTGTCATACTCACCATCAATGACTCACGACCACAACCCCTGTGTCATACTCACCATCAATGACACACGACCACAACGCCTGTGTCATACTCATCATCAATGACACACGACCACAACCCCTGTGTCATACTCACCATCAATGACACAGGATCACAACCTTTGTGTCCTAACCCCAATCCTAACTCACGACCACAACCCCAACTGTATCATCAAGACCATAACCCCAATTAGCTGCCATGATCCTACATATTCAACCCCAAATTACGTGTTTCCTTGTCATGACCATTCTGTAACCATCTTTCTTTAACTCTGTGCCACCAAGCCTCACCTACCAGTAGGCTACTACTTAACTTTTTTCCATAACCCCATATCTTAACACTGACCCCAATCATTGAATGCTTCTCTGCTTCCTCAACCTTCTAGACATTCCCATCCCCTCCCTCTCAACTCCCCAAACATTCAGTAATCGTTTATGGTTCTACTCATGGACTTATTCTTGACCAGTAAATTTGTCTCTCTTCAGACTAAAGAGTTAAATCTATCCCAAAATAAGGATTCAAGGAGCCATTATGAATGGAGGAAGCCATTAGAAATTACAAGGCACTGAGTTTCACTGTTATGTTGGCATCAAAAAGTACATATCTATAGATCTTACACTGCTGTGTGATTGTCCTACAACATAACTGTGGCGGATAATGAGCAAGCGGTCAAAAGCTGGGCTAGCAAGCGCCAGGTGCTGAGAATGATCCCACTAGTGACTGGGTTTGTTATAATATTCACCCTTAGGACAACAATGTTTACAGGTCCATACAGTGTTGTCACTTCCCCCAGTGTACAGTACAGTCACCCAGTGCACTCAAAAGAACCCACTCGTCCGATGGTAGATTACCAGATGGTGGAAACACGAATACGTACATATACGCACATGTCAAAACGTGTGGTGTCACCCTGGGCTAGTGACTTAGTTCAAATGTGCCTCTGTTCACTGAGCAGGCCCATACACAGCTTGGGTTGTATACTCCCCAGGGAGTTTAGAATAATAACTGGAATGGAAACGGATCCACTAGTCGAGGATATCATATCATATCATATCATATCACATCATATCATATCATATCATATCATATCATATCATATCATATATCATATATCACAATAACTGCAACATCATCAGTTGATTTTCATATAACAGAAAGGTGAGGTGAGGTGAAATTGAGTTTAACGTCACGTCCAAGATTATTGCACTTATATAGCAATGTCCATGCACACGTGTGTGTGGGTGTGTGGGTGTGTGGGTGTGGCTGCTTGTACTCATAAGTCCGGACTGATGCTGATTTATAGTGCTAGCTCACTGAGATACCAATATGCAACAGTTTAACATGAATATCCCACTTAGACACAATATACTGACTCCAAGCCGACCCGGCCTTGTTTTAGCCCCTTGATGCCGAGCGCCAGACAGGGTAACAACAAGTACCATCGTTTAACATCTTTTGGTATGACGCGGCCGGGGATCGAACCCTGGACCTTCCGCTCTCCGGCAGACGCTCTACCACTAGACCACAGACTATATATCAGAAAGAGTGGAATAACAAGTTGAGTGAAGAACAGTCAACTTGACATGCTGGATGTTCTTCACTACACTGGAGCAGCCTTCCACAATGTGATTGTAGTGACTGGTGTAAAGTAAAGTACATGTTAAAGTATGGGAGTTACGATCACCCACATAATCACTTTGTGAAACGGGCCTAGGGCTGTCAGTCATGTGTAGGATTCCTTTGATGAACAACCTCATCAGTAAACATTTCCATAATTATATTGTTTTATTTTTTATGTTTGGGGGTGGCATCATCCAGGGGAGGGGTAGATCTCTCAAAAGTGTAGGAATTAAGTATTTTATCCTACACTGAAGTTTCAAATGGCTGGCTACAATAACTTGGACAGCAACAAATATTCCAGGATAACATATAATTACTAAGAATTGTAAAATAAACCATACTGTATTGACAAGTTTGGCTATCCTACATGTATTTGATATGTATCACAATAGTTTAACTCCATATACTCATATTGACCAACATAATGTACAGTGTAATATTTTCCTTTTTGTACCCAAGAAAAAAAAAATAAAGTGAAAAAAAAGAGAATTGTAAAATGGGTCATCAAAATGAAACAAGAATTAGGCAAAGCCAGTGAGTGGTCAGTGTATCGGTATGTGTAATTCAGGGTTGTTCAGGTCATAGGGTTCGACTGCCGTAAGTCCATGTTAGTGTAAGCCTCACGATGTTAAGATTGTGGAAACGAGTCCATGGTAGGGTGTCATGTGGAGTATGCAGCATCTTCATTCATGTCAGTCAGAAGCCTGAGCTGCAGATATTAGCAACATCTAAAGCTGAAATCAAGCACCTGTTCTGTACGTAGAAGTTGTTTTCACGAACCAGTTCCCCTTTGGTGGTACGACATCATTTGCTAGATCGTAACCACTTGTTGACTTGACAGGTACATTCCTTACCATTGTATCAGCAGCATGCTAGATTGGTGTGCTGTGTTTTCATTGTAATCGTGCTCTCTATATTTAGTCAATCAGGCTGTTATTGTGCTAGAAATCCTGTTTTTTGTTTGTATCGCAGCTAGGTTCCCCTGGTGTATTTGTTGTTTATAAACAACATTTCCTACCTGTAATGACCTTGCTTATCATTCAACCTTTTTGAAATGCAATAATTTTTTGTCCATAACAGCATTGAGGCAATTACCATCATATGATGAAGAAAGTAGGTGTTTGAGTTGGTTGTTTAGAGCTGATGTCAAGATCCAAAGGGTGAATAGGTCTTCAGCAACACATGCACTGTAAAAGGCAATTGGGCTTGTCATAAGAGGTGACCAACGGAATCGGGTGGTCACGCTCGCTGACTTGGTTGATTAGTGTCATCGATCCAAATTGCATAGATCGATGCTCGTAATGTCAGTCAGTGGATTGTCTGGCCCAGACTTGATTATTTACAGACCGCCGTCATATAGCTAGAATATTGCTGAGTGCAGCGTTAAACAACAATGTCATGGCAATCCACTGTGCAGAGTTGTCTCCTTTTTTATCATAATCCAGAGGGGGCACGGGTGGCCCAGTCGTCTGAGGCGCCGCGATTCGCTGTACAGAGTTGCGTCCCCTAGACACGCCAGAAACCTATGATTGTGAGTTCGAATCCCGGTTCACCCCGATTATGTTTCTAGGTTTGTCAGCACCATACCCGTGCTTGTGGGTTTCACAGAAGTGGTAAACGTCTAAGACCTGCATCACTTCGGGCTTTCCTCCCACATTAAGCTGACACGCCGTGATATAACTGGAATAATGTTAAAAGCGGCGTTAAACCCAACTCACTCACTCACTCACTCACTCATAAGCCAGAATCTGATGCTTGTTGGTACGAATCCCAGATTCACACTGATAATGTTTGTCAGCACCATGCCCATGCTTATGGGTTTCACTAATGAGTAAAACATCAAGGACCTCAAACAGTTTGGGCTTTCCTCCAACGTTAACCATATTAGACCATATTGTCATGCCCTATCAGATCGTATTGTCATGCCCAATCAAAACATATTTCCATGCCCTATCAGATTATATTATCATGCCCAATCAGACCATATTTACATGCCCTGTGATGGCTATGAGATCATTCTGTCCTGCTCAGTTAGACCTATTGTCATGACCATCAAACCATATTGTCATGCCATATCAGATCATATTGTCCTGCCCAATCAAACCATATTGCCATGGCCTATCAGAACACGATGTTACTGCCATGACCTTCAAACCATATTGTCATGCCATATCAGATCATATTGTCATGCCATATCAGATCATATTGCCATGCCATATCAGACCATATTGTCATGCCAAATCAGATCATATTGTCATGCCCTATCAGATCATATTGTCATGCCATATAAGACCATAGTGCCATGCCATATCAGACCATATTGTCATGCCCTATCAGATCATGTTGTTTCATACTTATTTATTTTCACATTCACAAAGTTGAACTTCGACAGGGATCTTCTGGACAATATCTGTTTAGAAATGTATTTCAATCCCTGGTCACCATGGGTCTTTTAGCTGGAACACCCACGATTATTGCCAGTGTTTGAAATGTATTCATCTTTTCTGCAGTGACCACTGTGTGAAGGAATGGGACTTGTCAACAATGACGTGTGTCAGAGCTCTTCAAGGTCACAAGGGACCTGTCCGAGACATCAAGGTAAGGCCTTCACTGGAACTACGCTAGTCAGACAACTCATTTTCTAGTCCATTCAAGAAATATCCAGCTGAAAATGATCTTCTTTAAAACTATGTCCTTCTCTGGAAACAGTCTAGTTCAGGACATCCAGATGGAGCCTTTCTGGAGCTAGCCTAGACATCCAGACAGACAGGGCCTTCTCTAGAGCTAGCCCAGTTCAAGACTTCCAGACAGATAGGGCATTCTCTAGAGCAAGCCTAGTTCAATATCTCCAGGTAAACAAATGCTTCACAATAAGGCATCACAATTTCCTTCCATCTGGCCATGAAGTCAAATGAGAGAATGAAGTCTGTATTTGAGATACCTGGACAGAGAGATATCCATGGCATCTGAATCATTAGAGTGGTCAGAGATGTCACAGTGTAACCACCTGTTGTCCAACTAGTTATCAGAATTAATTTCCCATATTCATGATTGTTTTGTTCTCACATTTGAAAGATCAACAAGTATGAATTGCAGCATCGATGCTCACCTGAAGTATCTCGCTCTGATATATCATGTGTATATTTCCCAAGACCCCTGATGGCTTAGTTACTTGCATTGTGTGATGTAGAGAAATGTGAGATATATATAGGGAAGAGCTTGGATGCTTAAGCCTTTTGGTATAATATGAAGGATAGCATGGTTATCTGAACATCTTTTGGACTTTCCCATAACATCATCTTTGATATCCTGCTGATATGGTAAGCTGTGACCAGCTATGATTCTAAATACAGACAACAACACTAGATGAAAGCATTCACTCAGAGTCGGAGACGAGTGCTGTGTGTCGGCAGCTAATATCACAGTTATACATGTACCCCATTTTTCTTTTAGTCACGAGTGTTTGTCGTAACTTGATGTGTTTTCCCTGCCGCTATTCCAAATATCTCATGCCACTGATAGACACATTGCTCTGTGGACTTATGAGGCGCAGAACGTATATCTCGGTCTGGCTTATCTCCCTTTGTAATCAGCAAATCCCGAGCACAGGTGTGGACAAGATGGGGAAAAAATGCTACAACTTCAACATTTTTCTGAAAGTTACCTGAAGGTAGAAGTGGTATGTCTGGCTTGGGTAAACAAGCTAGCATGATGTGATTGCATAGCAGCAGGATCCCCACCTTGCTTCCACCTGCACAATCTGACATCAGCCATATGGACATTGGAGTCAGCCAATCAGACGTCGCAACACAGATCAGCATTGGGAAGCAGCCAATCAAAATGGCTGTTTCTTCAGAGGCCAATCAGATGTGTTGGTCTGTGTTTTTGTGAAATTGTTGAAACCACATGGTTACACTTGAGTGATAATTACTAGAAAGAAATTGGGAAAGGATATTGCATGTCTGCTTCATATGTCTGTCATTGAGGATGTGGAATCAAATTGAAATTAATAAGAGGAAAAGAAATTTAACCTAGTTACCGTGGTTATGAACTGGGTTTTACAGAAATGTCTTTTTTATGACCGATAACATTAGCCTTTTTCTCCATCAGAAAAAACAGATGATCAGGCCAATAGAGTGGCAGTCATTACTCTGATTCTGTGTAAATAAATTACACCGACTGCTATCCATGTGTTGTCAATATATGTCATATTTGGACACTTTTATTTTTAGGGGAAAAAGTTGTTGTCACGGAAGGGAACATTTCAAAGATGTGATCCAAATTTTGTATGTTTTTTCTTGTTGTGTGCTTGTGGTATCATAAGGACATGTTGAACGATTTGTTTCAACCCAATGATTAAAGGCCAAATCTCTGTCTTTGATATGTATATAAAGTGAAAGTTTCGAGTTAAAAATGTTCCTTTATTGTGTTGAACCGGTCCCTGATGGTAATGAGCTGTGATCTGCCCCCCACCTGTTATTTTTAATGGCAACATGTCTTGAAAATATTATCATTGTTGATGGACCCCCCTTTATATGATAATATTGTCCTTGCACATCTGGTGAATTTGTTTAATACAACAGTAAAACAGCATCACACCACAGCAATGCTTGATGTTTGTTGAATATTCGATTGTAAAATACTGCTGAAAGAAATCAAGATGGAAGCTTATCGGCAATGTTTATTAACGTTTCGGTTAAATTGTGAGCGAGAAATGTCGGTGTTGTGGGCAGGCTGGAGTCAAGATGTTGTCACCTGGTACTGATTGGTTGGAAATTTATTTATCCGAATGTTTAACTTTTTATGGTGAGTTTCCGAGTGTGTTCTGTGTTAGGACCTGTGATTGACTCAGGTGCCTTCCCTAGGCCCAGCAATGTGGTTGCCAAATGCAAAAGTTGGTGAAACCTCAAGCCCTGACTTATTCCAGCAACACTTCACATGTTATTTTGATAAATACAATATGATACAAGTTTACAAAATTGTTTATAAGCCTGCCTCCGAATTAACATGTTCCACGTGTGCATGACAGACAATGAAAGTCATAATCAACTACCTCTGGTCCATTCAAAGACCCTGCTGGTGCGACCAGTCTTTGTTGGAAGGTAAAGGAAATTATGCCGGCCAGCCGACCAACCAAGTGTTGGCTTGATTGAAGATGTTGGTAGATTTCCACTGCCACTATATATGGAGCAGAGCCAGAATAGTGTCAAAAGAGGTACCGGGTGTTTGGAATTTATAGATTCATCAGAAAAGAATAATTCATAGATTGCATATGGGACTGACAATTTTAGATTCTTGGAGCATGTGGGATTCGTAAGATAAAATGTTGTTTGATCCAGGTTACAACATACAAGGCCTTGGTAGAGTTATCGAAAAGTTTTATGTAGACATTTGGAGGATGTTTCCAGTTTTTGATGCACCAGATATCAAAATGATGTCTGGTGCAATTCCCTATTTTGACTTGTACCACATGTTCCCATGTTTTTTCAGGTGACCAGTTGACTTGCCTTTGCATGTGTTTGTGATGGGTGCCGCTGGTTTGCACACCTTTTCGCAATCACCTGGTATAAACACATGCTCGTGAAATAGTTGGATTTGGTCAATGTGCTCTGCTTTTAGCAGAGATTTCTTATGATTATGGAATGGGTTTTGTCGCATTTATTTATTTGGAAAATATGTTACCCAAAAGCAAATTGTTCACTAGAGATGAAACAAAATGCATTGTGTGTCTCTGGACATACAAATACATGCTGTGATGCTGTGATGTAGTCTTTCATACAGACCCTGAAACAAATATATCCAATACAGCCCATGCAAGTTGGAGTACATCACTGTGGTCTGATACTCATCCCATTAGCCATGAATACATTGGAGTAGCCTTGAATACATTGCAGTAGCCATGAATTCATTACAGTAGCCTTGAATACATTGGAGTATGTAAGCCTTGAATATATTGCAGTAGCCATAAATACATTGCAGTAGCCATGAATACATTGCAGTAGCCTTGAATACATTAGAGTAGCCTTGAATACATTGGAGTAGCCATGAATACATTAGAGTAGCCTTGAATACATTAGAGTAGCCATGAATACATTAGAGTAGCCATGAATACATTAGAGTAGCCATGAATACATTAGAGTAGCCATGAATACATTAGAGTAGCCATGAATACATTGGAGTAGCCATTAATACATTGCAGTAGCCTTCAATACATTGCAGTTAAGCCATGAAGACTGTAATTGTCCATGTTTTTCACTTTACTTAACAAATAGAACCCCATGTAGTTTCCAGTTAGAACTGATTCCAAGCAACCAATGATAGCCAGCCATAAGAGCTGACTTCGTGGATCGGGTGGTCGGACTTCCGCCATGTGGCTGCAGTATTGCTTCGTTTAATTTATGAGTAAATATATACATATGTAAATAATATTTTTGTTTATCATGACGTTTATCCAAACCCAAATTCTAAGATATAAATATAAAGTGTTGTGAATGTACAACCAGAATGATGTGACTGAGTGTCTTAAAACCCTATCTCCTTACATTAAATGTTAAAATTTGAGTTAAAAAAAATATTCTTTTAAGCTATCACATGGCTAATCGTGCACCAGGAAATACCATGGATAGCAGCACATCAGCAAATGGGAGATGTAGACGATAGGGTGGTTTCAAATTCAGAGAAAAAAGTTGATTTTAATTACAAAATGTCAGCTTATTGCACGTGCAGCATTCCAGTTAGGTGTTTGTTTGGTGTGGGAGAGACAACAGCCAGGAGAGGCGATGACAGCCCAAGGAGGGAGGCCAACATGTAGGGGCAGAGTTAACACCCTTGATGAGGGGAGGAGTAGACGGAGGGAACAACATCACTGTCGTGTAGTAAACATTATACACGTGAGAGTAAACAATATGCAGAATGTTAGAAATTTGAAAAATAAACTTGTGGTGAGACATAGAATATGCAAAAACTGTCTGTTATGCACCATGTGCAGGATGTAAATATTTTATGTAGGAAGATTTAAAAAAAATATTTTTTTATGATTGTAGAAGGGTAGAAGGGTTCAACTGTTTAAAGAAGCTGAAGTAGTAACTAAGGTTTGATGTGTCACCGTCAGCCATGTCATTGACCCGTAAAGATCCAGGTTAGAATAGGTCTTCAGCAATACATGCTTGTCTTAAGAGGCGACTAATGGGATCGGGTGGTCAAGCTCGCTTACTTGGTTAATGCATGTCATCATATTCCAATGGTGTGAATCGATGCTCATGATGTCAATCACTGGATTGTCTTTTCCAGACTCAATTTTTTACAAACCGCCATCATATAGCAGGAATATTGCTGAGTGTGACGTTAAACATCAAACAAACAAAACAAAACAAAATAAAACAAACATGTCATTCATTTACCTGTTGGACGCTATTGCTTCGATCTCATTAAAATCAGATCTTAGTGCTCACTACAAGATCTCAGGATATCCCATTATAGGTCATGTCAGAACAACCCTTTACTAACTTTAGAAAATGACTGACAAGAAGTCGACATTAGCCAACCAGACGACACTAGTTTCAAACTGATGACTTCCATTCCAGACTATGCTATGAAAT